AATTGTTTAAAGATTAGGGGTTTTGAGTCTGTAACTTAGTTTTCTTCTTTATCAAAGGAGACAACAATGCATAACACAAAGTTGTGTCATAAGAATGAAGTGCAAAAGCCTAACCAGAGAAGCGAGGTTAAGAAAGTATGTCATTATTTCTGGCTTGTAAGAGAAGTTAGTAATGCCAGCTGTTGTGATATTTTGCATGTTAAAAAACAGCACCTGACTTTTATTACAAGATAAATTATGCGCTCCATCTTGTCCCCAACGAGCGATGGTGGCATAGTGGATCATATCTTGGGGTGCTAACTGCAAAGTCAGCAGTTTGAACCCACTCGTCGCTCTGTAGGAGAAAGATGAAGCTCTATTCCCATAAAGATATACAGCCTCAGACACCCAAATGAGTAGTTCTACTCTGTCCTAAAGGGTTTCTGTCCATCAGAATTGACACAACAGCGTGAGTCTGAGTGTCATAGCCCAGTGAAGCACTTCTGGTTCAGTGGACACATTCTTGCCTTTTAGCCAGAGACCCTGATTCCCTCCCTGGACCCCACATACTCATGCTTACCCACTCCCTCTCTAAGTCTGGATGTTAAGTGTTGCTGAGATGCTTATGAGTCTAGAGTTTAACAGTAGGAAGAAAATACCTAGTGTTTGCCTTAAAAAGTAGCCAGTGAAAATCCTATGCACCCAAACCACTTGCTCTGAACTAATGTGTACTCTTTCAGGGCCTGGTAATATTTCACCCTGCCATGCATGCAGTCATCCCGAGTCAGGGACATGCCATGACAGCTAACAACAAGATTAACAGCTATGCCACTCCCCCCGTCACTGAATAAAGATAAACTCGAATATCTCCTTTTCCTTATGCGAACACCCACGAGGAGGCAGTATCTTGTACAGTGAGGAAAGAGGACCGAGACAACAGCTTTATGGGAGAGCTTCCCTCTTGAAGAAAGCTGCTACTTCCATCCTTGCCAAGTGCAGGAGCAGAAATGATAGAAAATGGATACGCATGAAAAAAAGACACTTGCACGTTGTTCCATAATGGGATGTTTGTGACCTGAAAACATAGTCTCACCCACAAACACCATAGTGAGAGAGTTCTTGAGAGAATTTGGCACTGGTGTTTTGGGATATGTATATAAATAAAGACAGAGCCGGGTCTATCTTTCATCAATGGTTTCCTAAGTGTGGGGGCAGGGGTAGTATGGAGAGAAGGGTGGTGCTTGTATCTTGTTAGGACTGTGATAATGGGATTGTGGTATAGTAATACAGTTCTCAGAGGGCGTGGAAGGGAACTACAGTGTTAGACCTTAGGATTTTCCATGAAGTAACGCTGAGGCTGAAGGAGTGGAGGGGGAGGATTTTTGGTACCTAAACAGTGGCTCTCCGAGGAAGATGTTGACCCTACCTTAAAGAGGCTTGGCAGCATAGTTATCAGATATGTCTACCATCAGGTGAGCCCTAGTGGCCTAGTGGGTTAGCATTTCTAAGTTACCAGCCACTCTGTGTGAGAAAGCAAGGTTTTCTACTCCCTTAAAAGGGTTATTGTCTCAGAAATGCACTGGCACAGTTCTACCTTGTCCTATAGCAATGGTCCTCAACCTTCCTAATGCCATGACCCTTTAATACCACCACCACCTCATGTTGTGGTGACCCCAACCATAAAATTATTTTTTTGCTACGTCTTAACTGGAATTTTGCTAATGTCATGAATCGTAATGTAAATATCTGAACTGTAGGATGTATTGTCATTGTTACAAATTGAACATAATTAAAGCATAGTGATTAATCACAAAAACAGTATGTAATTATATATTGCTAAATATTTATTTCTAGTTATAAATAAATGAAATTTTGTCTTGAAGCATGGTGTAGCATGGGTAACAGTCTTCACATCAGGTATTTGTATGTGGCTGTATCTGCTTGTGGGGAGACTCACCTGGAGATGGGTAGAGGAGCAGTGTCTCCATTCCTAAGACCATCGGAAATAATGCATTTCCCGATGGTCTTAGACGACCCCTGTGAAAGGGTTGTTCAACCACCAAAGGGGTCACGACCCACAGGATGAGAACTGCTGTCTCATAGGGTCACTATGACGAGCCAGAATTGACTCGATGGCATTGAGTCTGAGGGGCTTTCTGTTGTTGATGCTGTTGAGATTTTGGCATACTGGCAAAAGTTGGCCAAGAGTCCAATAAAACCTCACTCACTAGCTCAAAGATGTCTCAACTCAACACAAAGCAAACACCCACACTATGTGGCAGTGAGGTAAAGCGGAGGGAGGGAGAGGTCAAGAGACCACATGGCGGACAGGGTTAGGACTAGAGAGAGACTGGGCTGCTGGCTGAGGAGAGGGGTTGCTGTGGACCGATGACTGTATCCTCGCTGCTTATTGATCCTGGTTTAGGGTAAACTTGTTAAATCCCCTAATCGCAAGCAAATAACCAAACACACCGACTCCCAGCAACCATCAATGGCAGAGTAGAGCTGCCTCGATAGGTTTCTGAGAGTATAAATCTTCATAGGACTCGAAAGCCTTCTCTGTCTCCCCTGGAGGAGGATGGTGGTTTGGGGCTACCAACATTATGGTTAGCAGCCCCAGTGCATAACCCACAACATCACCACCTTTCACTCATATCAAGCCAAACTCTTTGCCATTGAGTCAGTGATGATTCAGAGCGACTGGCCCCATAGCACAGTGCAGAACAGCTCCTGTGAGTTTATGAGACCGCTACCCCTTTACTGTGAGTCGAGTCTGTGAGTTCTCTGTGGTCAATGCAAGGAATTACCAAATCCAGCATACTAGTAGAGTGTCGTGGGAGGAAAGTCTGGTGTCAGAATAGGTACAGAAAGATGGAGAGTGGAGGCATGTCTGACCTCTGCCTTGTGGCAACAGGGAAGCCAGAGCAGGTCGGACACTGTTCCTGGCCCCTCACCTTTTTCGCCTAGCTAATGGCTTACCATGAAAGAGTTTTAGGTTATAGATTTGTTGTTAAGACCACAGGGCTGATTATTTCAGATGCTAACAAAAACTCATACATTTTAATGATGCAACTTTATCTCATTATAGGACAAATTATAGTTAATACAAGAATAAATAATATATATTATTTATGTTTTCTTTATTTTCTCACCATGAGAATAAACATTTATAAGTTTAAATTTCAAGGCAATCTGATTACCGGATCACTTTATAATAAAATTTAAGAAGACTTCACTTGTATCACCTATTCCATCTCACTTTTATCAACTATTCTAATAGTGTCTCCGTTGGAAAAGAAAATGTGATTGGTGCTTAGCAGAGCTACTTTGTAGTACAGTCCTTTAATGCCTCCAACTGAGACTCATTTCCCTCACCTTTACCTCTATGGAAAAATGTAGCAAGAGTGTCTAACTTGTTTCGAAAACTGACTTCCCATATCTTTAAAACTCCCATTCCCACATTCGATGCCATTGGAGTCTCACCTTTTCGTTTAATTCCATTGCTCTTTTAAATTTTGCCTAACACAATCATTTTTCATTACTTGCAAGATGTCATTTCAAAGGATAACAAAAGTTATGTTACATTTATTGTCCCCCGATGAATCCAGCCTGCTCCAGGTTACTCCAGCTCAAACAGACGTGCAAAGAGCACACACACCAAACACCCACACACACACACACACAGTAGCTTTCCATCAGAAAAGGTGAAATAAGAATGAACATTATTAACCTCTGCAGAACACAGTACATCTCAGCTCACACTAGCAGTTCCTCCTGTGAAAAGTCAGTTTCTTTTTTTTCCTTCCAGAACCCAACCACTTCTTTTGACATTCCCATGTGCCAACCAGATGTCTCTGGCTCTGGATGCTACAATAGGGAACTCCATTTTCCTTACAGACCAAGTTCAACCAACATAACAATGCACTTTCATGAATACAATTTCATTTGGCTTCTTGGGCATGCTATGTCTTTCAGGCTAAGGAAAGAATAAAACTCCAAGTATTAGATGAAGCTTTTCTTAGGCAATGTATAACCATAAGGTATATAACGATGGAAACAATGGATGGATGAGTAGGGTGTTGATTCAAAGGTTAAACAATGAAAATAATTTTTTATATAAGGATACCTGGTGGCACAGTGGATTAAGCACTGGGCTGGTGACCCTCATCAGATCAGCGGTTTAAGCCCACCAATAGCTGCGGGAGAAAGATGCGTGTCTGCTCTCTACAAACTTGACAGGCTCCAAGCTCCATGGAACAGTTCTGCTCTCCCCTACAGTGGCACCACGAGTCTGAATTGGCTACACAGTATGGGCTTTTCGTATCTTGTGTTGCTTTTGGTATCTTGAATACAGTTAGCTGTATTTATTCTCTTTTCAACCCTTGAGCCCCAAACTTTACGGCCCCTTATTTGCACATCTGGTAAAGTTATCACTGGCCTCCTTAGATGCACAGAGAGAACTGCTCCACAGGCCAAAGGATCTTAATTGGGATGTTCAAGACGAACTACCAACTTAATCATTTGGTTATTTGGTTTACTTTTCTTTGCTTGCCCAACTGAGCTGGTGTTAGCCAGAGAAGAAAGGGATGTACAGAATACTTCCTTATTAGGAATCATGGACAATTTTAAATGCACTGATATTTTAAGTTGCCTGGATTCATAAGTATCAGTGTGAATATCTTTTTATAGCTTTCCCCCCTTTTTGCTTTTCATTTTCTCTCAATGGGGACAATTCTGGGACAAACCTATGGCAAACAGTAATCACAGCAAAAGTACAGTTGATTTGTTAAATCATACTAGACAATGAGAATTTACAATCAGTTACCTTAAGTAGAGAAACCAGGACTAAAACTACGGAAAGAATCATCCTCTCGTGTGTTTAAAGATCAGTGCAAATAAATTTTAAGACAAAAAAGTAAGAGACAAATATCACTAGTCAGTTTTATTTTGCTTTAACAAGATAATAGCTGTTTTCGATATTGACTTAACCTTTGTCTCTTGTGTATTGTTTCCTGACTTACCTGCAGTTGGAGGGGGCCTAAGCCTGGTGTTGCTGCTGCAGCAGCTGCCATGGTAGTTGGGATCAGCTGAACAGGGTAAGGGTCACCTAAGTAAGAGAATAATAGAGGCGTCAGCACCTTTTATCTCCTCTCCACCTGCAAATTAAACTCATGCATTCACTCTTTCCCAAAGCCTTCTTTTGTGTGCCTTGCTGAGGCCTAATGAAAAGCTCTATTGTGCAGCCTTTTACTAACACTCTTTTCACAATTCTGGCTGAGAGAGGAATGTGAATAAAAGGCACAAGCAATTAAGGCGGAAACCTCATCCTTTTTTCATGATGTATTTAGGAAAATGGAATGGGGGGGGGCATTGATCAGAGGGCTGCATTTTACAACACACACACACACACACACACACACAGCTGACAATCTTGATATAATCACAGCAGCTCCTCAGCAAATTTATAATGTTGCAAAAGAAACTTAACCTGTATCTATTCCAACAAACCAAACTTCAAAGATTTTAGCCAAATAGTTTAGCTTTTGGATGCTCTCTATTGAGTCAAATGATCTCGTAAATAATAATTTATGGTTTTATTCATGATAAGAAGACACTGTGTTATTTCACTTAAATAAAATCTGGTTACTTCTTGGCACTCCAGAGATAAATGTTTGACTAAATATTTTACATAGAAAATAAAATATAGGCAGTCCCCTCCAGTGGATTTTGTTTCTGTGAAAACCTACAACCACCAAAGGAAAAAAGTATCTGATTCAAAATCAATCTTGAAGCTTTATTATATGTGATCTATAAAATGCAGATACATGCAAACATATGTATATACACATGCAAGTGCACATACTAAAAATATCCTATTATTAATGCAAAATCAACAAGTTATTTTACTTTGTACGGCGCAACAGACTTTATTTGCACATGGTCCAATGATCTCCTAACAGATAAAAGTAGCAAAGCATATTATTTGTTATTTGAAAATGAAAATAAGAAATCAATGAAAACAGTAGCTATAAGAACAATTTGTAACATGTCAAGCATTTTCTTAGAAGTCTAATTTTTTAAAAACCTACTGAATGTCTTACATACGGATGTCAGTTGAAATAACTAGGGAACCCCTGCTATAGATTAAGCATGACTCTTGGCACAACAAATTGAGCTTAAAAACAAAAACCACCAGAGGTGGATATACTGAGAAGTTAATGAAGCTTAATTTCAGGGTTCTGAGGGGTGTCCTAGAAGTGTGTTTACAGGGTGATAGACTTTTTTCAATGTGTCTGTTGCCTAAAATTAATATTTTGTTATAATTTCTGGTTATAAATACATAGTCTTGTTTATAGTTAAGTTTGTATAATAAGTTTTGTATTTTTATTCCCACTGAAGGTCTTTAAAATTAAGTCCCAGGTTTCTAAATACCTGAATCTATTTCTGCAAATCTAGCTTTCTCAGAGCTTTTGATTTAATGGGAGAAATCACAGTTACATGAATAGTATAAAAACCAGTGACTGCTAGATAGAGGAATCTATTGTAAGTTGGTCTACACTCCAGCCTTCCCAAACCTAGACTAGGAAGTCAAAGTCAGTCTCCAGGAAGAAGTTATGTTTAAATAAACCTGGCAACTTTAAAGAGTGCCAGGCAAAAAGAAGGAAGAGTGTTCTGGGCAGAGAAATCGTTTTCATGGAGAATACGATGGAAGTGTTGAACAATAACCTATTCACTGCAATAGTACAGAAAGGAAAACAGAGATACATGAGGTTACAGAGGGGCTCAAGGATCTGAATATGCATGGATTTATAAACAGTATAAAATAATCAACCCTGTATCTTCCAGGATAAAGGAAACTTCTGAACACGGATAAAACTATTAGTTGAGTCAAATCCCTTGGGTGGGTTGGGGGCTATGACCATTTGGAAAGCAGATATAGAAATGTGTACAGTGGCCTAGACCAGGGTGATGCCATGGAAGATACAGAGTCATAGGGAGACTTGTCAAAGTCTACCAGCTAGAGATGACCAAACTTAATGACTATTTATCTACTTACAAGAATCAGAAAGGGAAGGCTTATAAGAACCAGGGTTTTCTCTTGAACAACTGATTTCACAGTGAATTTATTGGTGGATCTTGGAAGCATCGATGAGAAGCAGGATTACCAGATATGGAGGGAGAGGAGCGAGGAGAAGTAGATTAGGAGAGTTAAAAAAAACACATCATTTTTGACAGTTTAAGTTTGAAAGTACTAGTAAATATTGAAGTGGGGGTTTTCATTAGGCAGTTGACAAATATGTTGGGATTTTAGAAGATAAGACCCATAAGATAGAAATTTGGGAATGGCCAGCACATATCTGGAGTTTAACATTTTAATTAGAACAGAGAGGAAGTAATGATATAAAAAAGAGGTGTCAGGATTGAATTGTAGGATGCATACACTAGCACTTAAACTCGGGGAAAGTGGTAATGTGCAGAAGAGATTGAGGAGAAAATTTTAATTTGGAGTTTTAAATGCCAAGTAAAGAAAAAATATCAGAAAGAGACTGACCAGTTTTAAAATGTTCCACAAACCCCAATGTAAACATTACTAGTACTGTCACTGATGGGCATCTTATTAAATGAAATATAAGAAAGTCTAATTGGAATGAGTATGATCAATAAAAATGGTAGAAAGGAATTGGAATAACGTAGTATATAGTCCTTTTACTTTCTTTCTTTCTTTTTGAAAAGTAGAATTAGCATCAATTGGAGTTGTTTAGAAATGTAGTTTCAGACCCTATCTCAAATTTACCATGGGAAGCAGGGAATGAGCCCCATCTCTTAGTATTTATATCCTTGTATAATCTCTTCCTCTTTACTGTTTGCTGAACCTAATAATTTCTTTCTAATAAATATGACATGGTAAAGGGATTAGATGTCATTTCTGGGATTAGGTTACAAGAAGATTCTGACTCTTGTTTGTTCCCCTAAGTAGGTCCAGTGGTGCTGTAGGGGTGGCAACAACTCAAAAACTCAAGCTATACTGCCTTTGAGTTTATGCTCAGAGTGCCCCTATCGAACAGGGTAGAACTGTCCCTGTAAATTTCTGAGACTGTAATTCATCATGGGAGTAGAATGCCCTGTCTTTCTCTTTCAGAGGAGTTGGTGGTTTTGAACTGTTGACCTTGCAGTTAGCAACCCAATACATAGTCACTGTGGCATGGCACCAGGGGTTCCTGTTACCTGCAAGGCTAATGATTTAAATCTCCACTCTGCTTTGTTGAGTCTTTCTGCTCCTTCAGGAACCCTATAAAAAAGGTCACTATGAGTCCAAATTGACACAATGACTGTGGGTGAGTTGTTCATGTAGGTAAACCTGTGGTGGGCTACCTACTGAGAAGTCAACAATGGCAAAGGGTTGACGTCTTTGACCAATTGCAAAAGAAGATCCGAGGCTATCCAACAGACAAAGAGGTAATTTAGAAGAGAGAGAGTCCTCTACAAGGGAAGTCAAGAGGTAAACACAGCCATGACCCAAAGCTTGATTGTGGTTTTGTGCGAGATCAGGATCCATAGGCAAACAACATGGCTGTGTGCAGACAAATGATGTGTCAGGCCACTAGGTTTTGGGGTAATTTGTTAAGGCAGTCAACATATAACTTATGAATCAGGATGTTAATTTTAACCAAATTCACAGATGATTCATAGGCATGCTAGAATTTGAGAAGCACTGCAATAGACATTTTCACTGAAGAGTTTTTCAGCAGCTAGGGGGGAATGTGTGATCAAGGAAACTTTACTGAAGAGATATACATGGAGGAAATCAAAATATGAGACCAAAAAATTTCCGTGGAAAGGGTCAATTTTTGATATATAAGTAGAAAGGAAAACTGATGTTACATCACAAGGTTTTCTCAGTACTCTAACCTAGAAATTTTGCATTTACTATAGAAAACACTTTCACATATCATAAGGTAAAGGGATGTTTAGCTGTTTAATGCCTAATTTGTATATATGCAAAGTAGCTAAACTGGCAAATGGTATTATAGTATGACTATTCAGTTTGGCATTTTAAATACCTAAAGTGAAGTGACTCATGTATATCCCCCATTTAATGAATTTTATCTTAAAATGGATCACAGAAAAACTATGAAGACTTTGTTGCTGTTAACAATGGCAACTCATTTTATATGCTCTATTTCCCCTATTGCAAATTAGTCAATTAATAAGCCCTTATAGCATCTACCACATGGTCAGAACTCTGCTGAGTTCTGCGGAGACCAAAAAAAAAAAACCACACACACTCAACCAAATTGTGGTCTCTATCGACCACATATCTATCTTTTTAATTAAGTGCTTATTTGAGAAGTGTTGACCATTAGTGAGTGTTAAAGGAATTAAGAGAGAACTCATTTCAGGCATCAGTCTTTAGAGAATCGTTAAGAGCAAAAATAAGAGTGAGCTTGGCTTTGAAAATTTTGAGGTAGGGGGAATAAAGGGTTTTTTAAGTTGGGTGAAACCCATCACTCAAAGTCTGGGTGACATGTTAAAGGGATGAGAGAACTCTGGGTTAATCAATGTTTTATAATAAATTTGCGGAAAATGAGATGAAGGTAGGTAGCTGGAAGATGGGGCATGTTCCAGTCATGAAGTGATGTTAATGTGCAAAGGCAATGGTTATGAAATAAGGTCTTAACACACACCATTCAAGAGGTTCAGTAGGAGGATGTCTTAAAGATAACTCCAGATCACCAATCTAATGCAATGTACCTACTTTCAAATTTGGAAACTATCAAGTAAGTGTTCTGAATTACTTTTGCATTACTAGTTTCAAGATGTTAATAAGAAATTGAGTACCATTACATTTAAGTTCATTAATTAAAACTAGACTATTTGATAATATTTTTTAAATGCATGCTTTAGACTCATCATTTTTTGCTTTCTAAATTCACGAATATATATTAATAAAAATAAAGTTATCTTTAGCTATTAAAATAGATTTGAGTATGCTATACATATGCATGTGCATACATGAAGCTTTATTCATATGAAGTAAATAACTTTAAAGGCATATATGTTAATTATATAAGGATACTTAGTGTATTTGGTATTTAGGTGGATTGG